CTGCTACTGTGGTAATAATCATAGCTGGATTAAAACTACTTGAGGATATCATTTTTTGGTTCATTATAAACAATTCTCATCCATAACATTTCTTCCCACCTTTTTTTGTTCTCGTGTTATAATGAACATTTTAACACAATAACGTCAAATTACAGATTTTGGGATTTTGTGGTTTATATCTACAAATGTGAAATAGTGGGAAATAAATTGCTTATGGATTATGATTTTGGGAATTGTTATAAAAAAATTTTACTAATACAATTGTCATCCAGAGTTTTTAATTTTTGAGTTATAATCCAATTTGTTGGTGAATTTTTCAAACTTGAAATATTTGGGGTTTTAAATCTGTTGGGTTGGTAGTAGTCATGGTTATGTTACAATCGTTTACAGATAATGTAGTATTTGTTAATTATAAATAATTTTCGTTGTCAACACTTTCTCTTAGCATTTTTCGTTTTCAAGTTATAATAGAAATATGTCCAAATACTTAACTTTAGAAAATTAAAATTGCACGGTTTATATCTAAATGTGCGAATTGTTTGGAATGAAATTATTTATGGATTTGGTTTTTGTGATTTATTATGAACAATTTTTGTTAATATAATTATCATCCACTGTTTTTAATTTTATTATTAAAATCCATTTTGTTATGAAATCCCTCAAATTTGAAATGTTTAGGATTTTAAATTTGCTATATTGGTAATAATCATAGCTGGATTAAAACTACTTGAGGATATCATTTTTTGGTTCATTATAAACAATTCTCATCCATAACATTTCTTCCCACCTATTTTTGTTCTCGTGTTATAATGAACATTTTAATACAATAACGTCAAATTATAGATTTTGGAATTTTGTGGTTTATATCTACAAATGTGAAATAGTGGGAAATAAGTCGTTTATGGATTATGATTTTGTGATTTGTTATGAAGAATTTTTGCTAATACAATTGCCATCCAGAGTTTTTAATTTTTGAGTTATAATCCAATTTGATGGTACATTTTTCAAATTTGAAATATTTGGGGTTTTAAATCTGTTGGGTTGGTAGTAGTCATGGTTATGTTATAATCGTTTAGGGATAATGTTGTATTTATTAATTATAAATAATTTTCGTTGTCAACACTTTCTCTTAGCATTTTTCCTTTTCAACTTATAATAAAAATATGTCCAAATACTTAACTTTAGAGAATTCAAATTGCACGGTTTATATCTAAAAGTGCGAATTGTTTGGAATGAAATGATTTACGGATTTGGTTTTTGTGATTTATTATGAACAATTTTTGTTAATATAATTATCATCCACTGTTTTTAATTTTATTGTTAAAAACCATTTTGTTATGAAATCCCTCAAATTTGAAATGTTTAGGATTTTAAATCTGCTACATTGGTAATAATCATAGCTGGATTAAAACTACTTGAGGATATCATTTTTTGGTTCATTATAAACAATTCTCATCCATAACATTTCTTCCTACCATTTTTTGCTCTCGAGTTATAATGAACATTTTAATCCAATAACGTTAAATTACAGATATTGGGATTTTATGGTTTATATCTACAAATGTAAAATAGTGGGAAATAAATCGTTTACGGAATATGATTTTGTGATTTGTTATGAAGAATTTTTGCTAATACAATTGTCATCCAGAGTTTTTAATTTTTGAGTTATAATCCAATTTGTTGGTACATTTTTCAAATTTGAAATATTTGGGATTTTAAATCTGTTGGGTTGGTAGTAGTCATGGTTATGTTATAATCGTTTAGGGATAATGTTGTATTTATTCATTATAAGTAATTTTCGTTGTCAACATTTTCTCTTAGCTTTTTTCGTTTTCAAGTTATAATAGAATTTATCCAAGTACTTAAATTTAGAGAATTCAAATTGCACGGTTTATATCTAAAAGTGCGAAATGTTTGGAATGAAATTATTTATGGATTTGGTTTTTGTGATTTATTATGAACAATTTTTATTAATACAATTGTCATCCACAGTTTTTAGTTTTCGAGTTAAAATCAATTTTGTCGTTAAATGCTTCAAATTTGAAATGTTTAAGATCTTTGTTGTCAATAGTCCCAGTTAGTGTCTTGTGTAATCGTACATCATCTTTAACTCTTCATCAGATGCACAATTATTGAAACTGAGAAAAAAGCTAATCGATTGGTTTAAACTGATTAGGTACTTTCTCTGTCAAAATAATCAAATTAACGTGGTTTTGCTTTCAATGACATTAAGTTGGCAAAATCGATTATAACTAGAATTTATTATGAATAGTTTCCATATAAAATCTATCTTTTATCTTTTTTTATTTTCTAAGCAGCTTTTTACGTAATTTTTACTTTTCATACTTGCCCATTTAATAACTTTATTATTTTAGAGTGGCGCAAATTCTGCGATGCACGAAAGTATCGGAGATTCAATAATGCATGGAGTCTTATCACCGTCTCATCTCCACCGACTTAATTTAATAACAGACGAAGAACTCATTGATCCAAAAACAGACTTTTATTTACTTTTAATGCAAGCCTTAGCGAAAATCCCGGAAATCCCATTTTCTTTAATTACCGATAAATACAGGTGGGATATCTTTTCCGGTTACATCGATAAAGATCATTATAACGAAGCGTATTGGATGTTAAATAAAGAATTAAGAGGAATCGTCCCACCGGAAAGAAGGGGTGAAGAGTTTTTTGATGCCGCTGGAAAATTTCATTTATCCGATAATACACCGTATATTAGGTAAATAAGATGAGTAATTTTTAATTTATTAATGTAACTATGAAATAAACTTTAATATTTTAGGTATTTTTTAAGCAGCATTTTGCAAATGGAAATTTTTAAAGGACTTTGTGAAATTTCCTTGTATGGTAAAACTCAGGGGGATGATGATTATCAAGAAATTAATATTTTTCCATTACATAAATGCGATATTTATGGATCTAAGAAATGTGGAAGGCATTTATTGTAATTATTTAAAATTTATTTATTATCATTAATGTTAAAAATTTCTCAAAACTCTATATACTATGCACTCCAAAAGTAAAAGCCTCTCAATTTAATAGCGCTAAAGTTTATTATAGTTACTGAATATTTCTACGTAAATTTTCTATGTGAATTTGAAAATGTTTGGGTCAGCGGTTTTTCTTTTATCGCGAGTATGAAAAAGTACCCGATTTTTTGGGTGTCGGCAACACTATCCACTTTACGACTTTTTTTCAAAAACTATATGACTAAAATATTGCAATTTTGAATAGGTATCAGGCTACTATTTTTAATGCTAATCTTGTCATAATTGTAGAAGATCTAGGTTTCGTTCCCCTTCTGCTTTTTTTTATCATTCCACGTATGGCGACAAAGCGCGGAATTGNTCCAAGTCTACTAGTGTCGGAGCAGATGGTATTGGACTCAGATTCCTCTTACCCATTCTCGATATAGTTATTACTGCCCTAACACATATTTTCAACTGTTCTTTTGAACAGTCTATATTTCCGTTAATTTGGCGAATCACCTATGTTATTCCTACCCCAAAAATTAAATCTCCGTCCCATGTTGGTGACTTTCGACCCATTTCTATTCTATCTACGTTGTCAAAAGTTATTGAACGTTTAGCTTTTGGTAATAGCATTTTGGTGTCAAAATTTCGTAGTTTTATTCAGTTATTGCGGGTTGATGTTAATTCTGAAACTATGTGGCGCTCATTGGCATAAAACTTTTTTTGAAGAACTCATACCCCGCCGACTGTTGCACAAGCGGCCATCAATTTTGCAAATATTTTACCACCGGACACTAAGAATTTCATGTATAGAATTTTTCTTATTGTAAATTAGAAATTATTTGTTTTGATAAAAAGCCACGTAACATACTACTACAGCACTAATTATTCACTTCAACCACTGTGATTCGGTCTATGGTCCCTGCTTAACTAAAGAAAATCAAAGAAGGGTGCAGTATGTCCAGAATAGCTGCCTCAGGCTGA